CAGCCATAGAGGGGCTTGGTTAGGTTTCGTATTGCTAATAAATGTTTACTTGGAACATTTCAGTAGGTAGCGTTTCGGTCTATCCAACCATCTCATTTATATTTTAACCAACAAGCGTTTTCGAACTTTCTGATCGGTCAATGGGCGACCTTTAGCGTTACAAACTCAGGCAGGAGGCTTCTTTAATCTGGCGGCCCCACAATGAATCGCTATCAAAAACATTAAGCCGATGAAGTCAACTTTGCCGGAAACCTTTCGTTAAATTTTGCGATAATCCTTTCCGTACAGTCGAATCTTGGAGACGCCACAGAAAAACCCACAGCCGACGCTAATTTGACGGCTGAAAGCTTCAATGCTTTCTTGCCCAGAAAGTCTAGTTTAAAGTTGGTCCTTCCACTTCCGACCATCCGGGTTTGGCCGGATGCCGTCCTCGAGACCATAAATTATACCCTCTGGGACCTAGCAGCAACCATTCGGCGGTTTCGTCTGTGTCATAATCCTGGATGAGATAACGTTCCGTTCAGCACTCTAAAGGCTGGTGCCAGCAATATTTTTCCATTCCTTCTGTGTAAGATATTCAAACTTGCTCTTGGAAGCCAAACCGTTCCTAATTTATTGAAGAAATTGCACATTCTGCCTATATCCAAGCATGGCCGATCTACGTCCTTTGGCGACTTAAGGCTAATAAACGAACTTCCTACATCCTTGAATATCATGGAGGCCTTGATCAAAGGCAACGTGTGTCACCTAACAGGGAACAACCTACATAAATGCGGCTGAGGTGGGTTCCTGGAAAAACATTTTGTGACAACTCTGCGCTCTCTTTCTCTGATCATGTGCTAGAATCTAGAGACAACAGTTTCGCACTTAGCACATTCTATTTCGATTTCGCTAACAATTCTGACCGTGTTCACCATGATCTCATCCTCATGAAACTTGCCTTCTTTGGCATAGGTAACAGGCTTCTGAATCTAATTTCCTCCTATTTAGGCGTTCGCACACAACGTGTTGAGGTATCAAGTGTGAGCACAAACCCCACATACATGAAGAATAGAGTTATTCATGGTAGCGTACTTGGCCCGCCCTTATTTTGCCTATTGATAAACGATGTTCCTCACTGGTGTTTAGAATGCTCGACCCTTTATG